TTTTTTTTGCAGTTCCCAGCACGTTTTGCAACAACAGCAAAACCAAAGCGGGAGGAACCAAACCCTGTTGGCATCAACGTGCCATTCTCCATTGCCAGCCTGCACCCTTGTGCCTCCGTTTCTCTGCTCATGGGCAGAGAACTGAGGTTTTGGGGTCACGCATGGGAACACAGCTATATAGGGAGGATGCATGGGCACAATGAATTTTAAGTTGAATTTCCCAGTTCCATGCACACTAGTGTTGGCATAGATGCACGCACCGAGGACATCTTCCAGAGCTTTTTAATATGGCCTCGCTGTGTAATTTTTTCTTTTTTTTTTTACTAGTTCGGTGCAACATTTAATGATTTCCCCAAAGCTCCAACAGGACCCCAGAGTATTGATGGAGCTGCGGTTTCAGTGACTTGCTGCTAACACATGGCTGTTTTCGTATTAATTGATGGGTGTGCACATGCTGGTGACTTCTTCTGCAACATGGGTTTCTAAGAAAGTAAATAACCCATTGGAACCCCTTGTCAATATGACTCCGGTGGGAGCCACGCCGTGCGTCAGCCGCTCCAAGCGTGCTGCGGTTGCCTTGGGTAACGCTGGTGCAGTTGTATGCTGAAGTCAGGACCTCAGGCTTCCTTTGTTTTCCTCCGTCAGGAGAGCATTCGTGCAGCATTACCTGGTGCTGCTGATGTGCTGTGTAAGCAGGGCTGCTCGGCTCAGAGGGGTCTGGGGAGCACAGCGACCTGGCTATGCGTTGGTGCTGCAGGGAGCGGTTCTTCGTTATTTATCACGGGGTGGTTTGCAAACATTGCTTCATCCCTGGGAGCTGGGTAATCATTACCCTGTTTGTCCCCTGGCTTCTTGGCTAACAGATGGATGGAGGTGGGTGGGAGCAAGCTGGGGACTTTTCAGCTGTAGAGACCAAACACTGGGAACTTTCTGCCCACGGACCAAGCAGGGTTGAAAGAAGAAGCATTGCTAAAACCCAACGTGAAGCATGTTGGCCAGGTAGGGCTTAAAGAAAGAACATTGCTCCAATCCCCGTGGGTACATTCCCTGTTGGTGTGTGTGCTGGTGGTGCTGGCATGCAGGTGCCCTGCAGAGGGATGCTCTTGGCGACCACCTGCCCACTGCTCCTGTGGCTCTGCCATCTCCCCAAGGGCCTCGACTTCACCAAAACACCACTTTCTGACCCCAAAATGTTGTGTCTGTCCAGGGGCCACATGCCATTCTGCACCGTGTGAGCACGGCACGTGCTGCAGAAGCAGCGGAGCTGGGGCCGCTGTGCCTCCCGCTACCGCAGCACTCCTTCAAATAGAAGCAGCTAATTAACATTATTCTTTAATTATTGCCTTTATCAACAAGGGGTCTGGTTTATACCAGCAGGATAGTCGCTTTCCCTTCCACTACCCAAGTGAATGCTTCAGTTCCTGTTGCTTTTGAAATGAATTTGATGTCATCTGCCCATTGTCACTTAATGGGGACACTTGGGTAATGATTGCGCGCTCCAGCCCTGTTAGCAGCACTGCGAGCGTGTAATTTAGCCCCTTAGGCAACGGTACTTTTGAAATCTCTGGATAGTTTTGAACTCTCTGTTCTTAATTAAATATGCAATTTTTCACGGTAACCAGGTTAATTCTTTTGTGTTGTGTTGTAATACTGTTAGGAATTTTCATAGTTCTTATTAAACATTATTCAGGCATTGTGAATTCCATAATTAAAAAAAATGAAAAGAACAAAGCTTGATTCACTTCTTTCTTTTCCCTGGTTAATTTATCAAATGAATTTTGCAAATTTTTCTTTTTGTCCCCAGACAGTGTGCCAAGTGTTTTAAAGGGGAAGGATTTAATTGCTCTGTAGGGATTGGTTGGTTATGAAGGATTTGGCTGTTTGATTAGTAAACCCTACTGGGAATGGTTTAATGCTTCATGATCTTAAAAATTGTCTGATTGTTGGGCTCTCCAAGGATGCTTTCTCTTTTCGTTATGTACGGCAACAGCTTCGTACAAGTGTGATTATGGGGTGGTGAGGAGGGAGCTGATCTGCCTGCCCCGATGTAGGGAAATGATATTGGGAACGGCAGTGGAGGGACAACGTAACTGGGGGATGCAGAACTGCAAAGCTTTGTAGCATCTCCTACTGAGGTGGGATTGGAACACCCATGTCCAGCAGATCTGGAGGTGTTCAAGAACCGCGTGGATGTGGTTAGTGGGCATGGTAGGTTGGGGTTGGACTTGGTGGTGTTAGTGTTCTTTTCCAACCTTCGTGATTCTGTGATTCTGCAGGCACTATTGGAGCTTGGGTCATGGAAGTATGGGATCTGGGGTTTTCTTGTGGGATTTGGAATTTCCCATGGGACAGGATGGGTACTGTGTCCTGCCCAAGGCACAGGGCAGCCTTGGGTGATGCTGGCCGTGAGATGGCTGCCAAACGGGATCAATAGTGGCAGCTCTGAGAAGCTCCCCAGGGTTATTTGGGCTTTAAGGAGAGGTCAAAGAACCATTGAACTTGTAAATATATTAGTATTTAAGGGAAGAATTGCTGTCTTCCAGCTTGGTTTACACGGTGTTGACTTTTTCCTGTTCTGGTTAAAGTGAGGGTTGGGACCTTGGTGGTGTGGGAGTGGAAAACAAAATGTGCAGCAGTGCTGCAGGAGGGGTCTTTGCTCCAGAAAGCATCACAGGAGGTGTGCAGGCAGACAAGAGGCATTGCCAGCCTGAAAAGCAAAGCAGGGATGCAAAATATCTTTGTTATTTCTTGAAATTTTGCTTAAATGCAAAGATTTGTGCCAAGTCCCAACTGTGTGTGCACCTCAGCAGTGCTTGGACTTGAGCTTGCAGCTCCGTGTAGTGCTGCTGCAAGACCCTTCCAGCACCTCCTGCTCCATGCAGATCCCAAAAGTCATTTTATACCCAAAAAAAAAAAAAAAAGAGAGAAAGCAAAGAAGCAGACATTTGAAAGGTGAAGCCAAGCAGACGCTGGTAATGTATTCACAGGCATGACACAGAATGGCAGCATGTCGTGAACCGCGTCCCCGGAGACCAAGGGGTGGGATATTGGCTTTAACCCACAAAGGCTCCAGTCGGGGCATAAATTCATCAGACTTACGGGATTGCTCTCGGACTACTGAATAATTTACGGTTCCAGAGCCCAGCCAGGTTCAGGTCATTGGGGTTCATGGGTTAATAACAGGTTTGGTTTTTGTTGTCAGCAGCTGCCTTGATAACATATGAAAGAATCCTATTCTGTTGATTAGATTTTGAAATGGATCAATTTTTAATCAGCAGAACATCTGACTCACTCAATAAGAGTAGCATTGTGGAGACAGAGTGGAGGTGCTCTTTATTTACAGGATTGTTTGTTTTTACCCATACGCAAATCCTTGGCCCCCCCCCCGGCCCCATTTCCCCCAGGAGAAGTTGCTCATGGTTCCACAGCACTGCGATGGGTGCCGGATCCAGCCCCACACCTCTGTAAATCCATAGGTGCTTATGGGATACCTGGATTTAGCAATCTGTTGTTATTGATGGAAGAACACTTCCTTACCAATGGGTTTCCCATGGGCTGGTGGTTGCCCACCCCAAGCCCTGGCCCAAAGCAGGAAGATCTCTAACCAAAATCCAGCCAAAAAAACGAGCAAAGCTTCAATGTGAGTAACTTGGCCAATTTCACCGCTACCTTTAATTCTAAAAGAGCTGAATTCCCACTTCAGGTTAATGTCTGAGTGGGGATAATGTTTTTGTCGTTTCTTTTCAGTGCTCAAGGCACAAAAGGCATCCCAGGCCCAATGTGCTGCATCACATCCTAATACCTACACACATTTCTTCTTGTAAAAGCACGCGTAAAATAAATTTTCCCATAAGTAGGAGCTGGCATGTCAGAATTTCGGCCTGAAGCAATCGCTAACAACAGGCATAGTGGGACTCCCTGAAAATCCAGCTCCCACCTCCTTCCTTCCCACACTCTTTTTTAATAACAGAAAGGGTAAAAGTCTCATAAATAGAACTTTGTGAACGGTGTCACTGGATTAAAGATTGCTTTGCGGTTGTTGGGCGGGCGCTGATGGATCGCTCGTGGAGCCCTGATGCTGGCAGGTATTGATGCAGATAAGTTGGCTCCAGTGGTAATTTGCATGGTTTGCCCTGGGTGCTCTGCAATTTTACTTTTAAAACGCATGCCTTCTGGCAGTCTCCTTCACCTAAATAAATATTTTCCCTCTTGCCAAGGATCAATTAAGATCACAGTTCCGTGGGGGCTTGTGGCAGCACTTCTTTTGCTTTTCTTTTTTTTTTTTTTTTTTTTGCTTTTTGCTTTTCGTGCTTGCAAGAGTTGCCTCACAGGCAGAGGGGCCTCAGGTCCCATCCTGGTGCCAGTAAGACGGGTGATGGATGCATCTGCTAAAAACACGAGCAACGTCAGGAGGTTAAATATGCATTTTGCATCATCCCTGGCAGTTTTATTTTCAGGAGAGCAATGGGTGTCACAAGGTCGGGACTTTCAAATTAAGTTTATTTTAGTGATGGAGAACGTGCTCATCTGTTGAGCACCCACTGGTTATTTTCTGAAGAGAATTAAAAAAAAAAATTATAGAGTTATAAAACTGAGTCGGAAGAGACCCCCAAAATCTGTATGTTCCCACTGCCTGCAGTGCACAGGGACACCCGTAGCTCCATCAATGCTCACAGCCCTGTCCCCTGACCTTGGGTGTCTGCAGGGATGGGGCACCACCACTTACTGCCTTATATTCAATCTAAATCTCCCCTCTTTTGGTTTGAAACCAGTGCTTTCACAAAGAGTATGGGGTCAGCTGAGCTGGGTTCGGTTTCTAAAGGCTGGTGCTCAAGAGCTCGGAGGTGATCCCATGTGTCAGGTAATGGGGACAGCCCTGGGTTGATGCCTAAGGGAGGCATCAGCTCCTATGGTAACTCATTAACTCTCCAAATTGCTGTTGCCTTTCACGGCAGAGGAAGTGAACAAACAGTGGATCAGAGTCTGGCTTTGGGTGCTGCTCGGGCCAGGGGTCACTCCGTCAGTGCAGTGCTGGGATCCTCATGGGAACAGAAGCGATGAGGTCAAAAATGTTGCCTTGCCCCTTCAGTTGGGATTTAAGAGAATAAACAGGTGAATTTGGGTCTGTGAACCCGTGCCCAGGACAGCCCCGGGCCGACAGGCAGCAGGCGGAGGCTGCGTTAATTTGGGATGGAGGCACTGGGAGCAGTGTGTCATCCGATCTCCTTCTCCTGGGATTTTTAAGGCATTCTTCCAGGTATGAGGCTCCTATGGTTTGAGGTATTTGAGTGTGTTAGGATGACACAGGTTGCATTTTGGCAGACGTCATGTTTTCCTTCTCTATCCCTTCCCCCCACCACACATAACCTCTGTCTAAAAGGGTTGCTGTATTTTTCTTTCACATTCAGCTGATAATTAAACAACAACAGAGCCCAGCATCCCTCCAGTACAGAGCAGATGGGGCAGCCTGAGTCCTCGCACTCTGCTGGCTCCGACAGCGCTGAGTCCCTGGGATGGTATGGGGCACGTGTGGCACAGCCGCATCCCACTGTGGGATATGGGATGGGGTGTGGTATGGGATGGGCTGCAGGATAGAATGCAAGATGTGGGATGCGAGGCAGGGTGTGAGATGTGTGCTCCTGCCTCGTGCCTTCCCGTGGAGCCACTTTGCTTTTACAGCTGACGTGGAGGTTTTTTTGGTAACAAATACTTTTATAGTGGATAATCCCAGTCTGCTACTTGAAGAAGCCATTAAGGAGCGCAGTGCGAGCTGCCTGCTGCATGTACCCGCAGTGTGCTGAGTGCCTCCCGCTGCACGGCCGTGCCACGCAGCTCTGAAAAGTTTGGGGCTGCAGATTCCTTTGCAGAGGGATGAGAGCAATTTGCAGCAAAATCACCACCTTTCCCTGTTCTGTCTCTGAGCTGTTTAGAAACGACGTTGTTTGCTTCCCATCGTCTGCGCCGGTTTCTCATTGCAATGCCCTATTTTATTTTATTTTTAAGCAGCTACAATTGATAATTTAGTTTCAGATAAAGCAACCTTAGAGCTTTTATTTCTCAGAGGCCAAACATTGATGTTGTGTGAAATGGGAGCTTCGCGAAGCCTTTGTATGGAACTTAGCTTCCTGAAAAATTTATTTACTGCGACTGTGATCCACAGGAGCGAATTGATGTTTATCTATGGTGGTTCTTGCCAGGAAAAAAAAAAAAGCATAACTGCACTTTCTTCAGAAGCCTTGAAAGGCCTTTTAAATAAGTGTCTAATAGTAGGCTCTCAATAGCAAACAGCCAGCTTGACAGACAGTGTACAGTATATTATTAACTATAAGCAGGCTTAATCTTTTTCTCATGTTTTAGAGAATGCTTTATAACCCCACGGCCAAAGGATTCGTGATCGCCGGGTATGTGAAGCTGAGCAATCTGATGTTACTGCGGGGAGATCGATGCACCGGGCTGCTCCCTGCCACTCCTTGCCTAAGTTCTGCGTGGTTGAGCCTGAGGAATACATGTTGCTGGTCCTGGGTGTGAGCCAAAGAGTTGGAGAAAATCAGCAGTGAGCGTGCTGGAAGGCGATGTGCAATTAGCCAATTAAACAGGCGGTGTTTGCTCGGTGTGTGACTCGCAGCCAGCTTGGGGTCGGTGGCCCTGGTGGCATTGTGGTGGCAGCAGTGATATGGGGATGTTGTCCCACAGTGCAGGATGTTTCTCCTGCACAGCTGGGACCAGGCAGGCTTCTCCTTATCTCTTCCATGTGTGGTGTCTGCATCCGGCTCTGGTTCCCCATGGACAAGTGTGTCCATCAAGAAGACTCCTTGTCCTGGATGTATTGAGCTCCCCATCTTTGGTGCAGCTCAGTGGGACAGCAATGGATGCGGACAGTGGCACTGCCTCTGGGCATCCCCAGTCCTATGTCCCTATTTCCTGTTCCACATCACTTGGTCTTATATCTCCATCCCATCCCTGACCTCCAAAGCTCTTACGTGGTCTTGTCAGTGGGAGATGGAGCTGATGGCACATAAGATCGTCCTTTCTAACCCAATTTTGTAAATAATTTGTGTCCGCTCCAAGTGAAAAAGTGCTATATGTGTGTGCTGAGCCTCTTGGGACATGAGTCAGCTTGCTGCAGGCTCCTTTGCTACTTCCCAGGGCTCCCGTGGGGCTTTGCCAACCTCCTTCTGGTTCCATGAGTGGCTTCTCATCCTCTTGGCTGTCCTCAAGCCTTCTAAATTCTGTTTTCCTGGCTTTTACCTATGTGCCATCCCTCATTACTACTCTGCTTCATTGCACATCAGCACCTACAATGCTCTGCAGCCCTGCTGAAAGCTCCATCTAAAACCAGCTTATTATTTAATGTTTTTAATCATAATGGGAAGCTGCTTCTGGATGCTAATTGATCCAAGCATCTCCTGTCATCCAAGCATCTCCGGCTGAGGCTGTAATGAAATAGTTTGATGCTTTAACACAAGTGTCAAACACTTCCCCAACAGCACGAGCAGCAGAGACTTTGGTTGAGGTGTCACACCAGTTCCATTTCCTTTGATCCAGAAAAGGAGATAAGGAGTTTCAACTCAGGCTGGGTAGCAGCTGCTCTTGAAGATTTTAAAAATAAGAAAATATGCAATAATGGAAGTGTTAAGCTTTTGTGTCATGTTATGAACTAGTCCTAGTGCTGTGGAGTGAAATAATGTAGGTGTAATAACAGTAGTACAAATGATGAACACGAGTTAATCCTAAACTAGAAAAGAAACAGAATGGTTTTCTTTTTGGAGATGCTCAGAGTTGGTTTTCCTGATATTTCAGGTGAGAACATCTTCAGAAAAGCCTTTTTTAAAAGAAACAGGTGCTGGTTTTCCTGGCGGTTGCATTCTCAGCACACAGTTTTGAATATTGGTGGGTCCAGTTCCTCCCCAGCACGGCGAGGTGGCACTGGGCTGTCATCAAGGTATGGGAGTCTGGGCTGAGGATGTCCAATTGTAACGTTGAAGCACTTTTTGGAACATTGGGTTCATAAGCAAACGTTGTGTGAGCAGCTGAAGAGAATTTCTATGACATGCTGAAACGAGCAGGTTGCAGCAAATAATTGGATATCTGCGCTGCTTTCCCTCCACTCTCCTCCATATGGACACTGTGTGTGTTGGTCTTCTCACTTCGGAAGTTTTGCTTTTAGCGGTTTATTTTGAAAATATTTTCCTTACAGACATCCTCCCTCTCCCAGTGTTGGTGCAGCCAACCTTAGGGCATGGAACGTGCCTGGGAAGTGGTGGCAGTATAGTGTCATGTTCCTGTCTGTCAGTCCTGCAAAGGATGCCGGGGATGCAGCAGACGCACAGCCTTATCCACCCATCCATTCACCCATCGATTCACCCATCCATTCTCCCATCCATCCATCCATCCATCCATCCATCCATCCATCCATCCATCCATCCATCCATCCATTCATCCATCCATCCATCCATCCATCCATCCATCCATCCATCCACCCACCCATTCCAATGCTGGAATTCCTGCATTGGGAAAAAACAGGGGACTGCTATTGGCTTTGGCCAGTTCGCATGGCTCGCTTTGTATCAGTTTCTCAAGGCAAATTGTGGTGACTTTTTCAGCCAAGGAAAGCAAAACCTAAAAAGCTGGGAAGGCAGCGCATGCGAGATGCTATCTCTGGGTAAAGCGAGTTACAACATTTAATACAAGGAAGCTTTGAGGGCTGCACAGTTTGCATCAGAGCGCAGCGTTCCTGCGCTGGAGATTAAACCTCACATTTCATTTTTATACACTGTGCTTAATCCAATAATGATTCCATGTTACAAACGGCAATAATATCTTTCAGCATAGTTAATCAGAATAGACTTAATGCTGTCACTATTTATTAACCTTTGTTGAAAAGCAAGAAGTTTTCTTGCTAATCTGTGATTGTTGCTCTTGTCAGGCTCTGTCAAGTGCAAACCAGCTTTGGCATTCATTAAGGCAGGAGGATGCTGCCTTGCCAGCTGGGATGCCTGCAATGGATGGGAATTCTGGGTGGGGAGCTCTAAAAATCCTCCCCAAACCCCCCTGTGTCCCATTGCTGGGTGGTGGTTGCAGGCACAATTTTGCCCTTCGATTTTCTCGCGTTGGTCTCTTGTTGCAGAGCAGCCTGCACTGGAATTGGCTTGTAGGAGCACCTGGAATTAATGAGCCAGCTTGGTGCTGGGCAGAAATCGATGCTTCCTGCATTAATTGCGCCATGTTCCAGCTTTGTCTTTTTATTCTGAGTTATGTAGTTGCAGGCAGAGATGTCTCTCTTTGGCAGTAACCCAGGGGTCTTGCTCTCATGCCTGTCCTGACATGTTGTCAGTGACACAGCACAGGAGAGCTCGTTTTGGCCACGTTTTTGCACAGTTTGCTGCTTTTGCAGCAAGCAGGGTGCCCACTCCAGGGGAGCAGTGGCCTCATGGACAATGCTTGGGGACCCAGCACAGCCACCTGGGGTAAGACAGTAACCTCTCATCCCTTCACCCCCGTAGAACAAGAAGCTCAAAAACTCAATGCAAGCAACCCTCAAACCCTCTTATTTCTGCCTGTTTCCATCACTCCATGTCCCCAGGATATCCCTTCCAAAGCACCCATGGGATGCAGTTGGTGGCACAGGTTTTGGTAGCACCGAGTTCTGTCTTCTGAACTAAAATGAGGTGGGTTTTGGTACCAATAACAATAATTTGGAACCCTTTTAAACCTCCTCTGCAGGAGGCTGGCATCTCTTCCGAGTTGGATATTAAAGCAATTCCTTCTCCCAAAGAGCAGCCAGGCATCAGCACAGGCAGGTTGGATGGGGCCCTGGTCTCCTTGGCCTTGTGCCTGATTTTGTTGGCAATCCTGTCCATGGCAGGAGGATTAGACCTCAATGACCTTTGAGGTCCCTTCCAACCCAAGCCATTCTGTGCTTCTATTCTATGACTTTCCTCCTCCGCGCATCCTGTTGATAGCAATTTGCAGGACTGTGGGCTGCGTGTGCCCAAGGCTCTCTGCTTCCAGACTTCTCCAGGTCTTGTGAAGCAGTGATATTAAGAAAAAAAGAAAGAAAAAAGCCAAGAAGAGGAAAAATCCCAAGCCTGCATCCTCATCATGCATGGAGGTCTGGAGTGCTCTGCTGCTAAATTTAGCCATTTAAAGAAGATTATGGCCTATCCACTTGGGACTTTTAAAAAGGCTTTCACAATAACTCTTGAGAGCCTGATGCCTCTAATCCTTAACTTTAATTTAAAATAAAGAAATCTTTTCAACTTGCCCTTCTGCCCTCCCCCTGCCCCATTATTCAGGCTGAGGTTCTTTGCTGCTTGCTTATGGAGCAGAGATGTGCTAAGCTGGTTTAATTTCTTAGGAAGACATTTTTTTTTTTTTTTAATAGAAGGAAAATCAAGCCAACACTCGAGAGCGTACACAGCAGTTTACCGCCATAGGAGGAATTAATCAGTCTATAAAGTTCAAAATGTACAAAGAGGGAAAAAAAACCCACCCTGAGAGATCAAACACAAGGCTCTTCTCCACGATGCAAAGATAAAAGCCTCTTCCTCCACATGCTTCCCTGCTATTGGCAGCCAGTGGGGTCAAGATATTTTTTTTTTGTTGTTATGGAAAGCCAGAGATAATTAATGTTGTTGAAAGAGGGCTCTGGGCTCGGCGTCTGGCAGGCGAGCCCCCAAGTCTGGGCTGCGGCGAGGCAGCGGCAAGCGGGGAAAGTTCCCCGCAGAGGAGCTGCCAGCAGAGTGAAGCCATAAATAATAGCAGGAGATATAAAGGAGGCTTGGAAGCAGCACAGTGCTGCTGCTCCTTGGGTGGGTGCAGCACAGGGTTGGGGTCCTGTCCCTCCTTGGGTCCCGCATCACCGATCCCTGTGTGTTCCTGGGATGCCCCCAGGAAGCTCGGTGCCCCAGTAGCTGTGTGCTTGGTGTAGCTCATTTGGATGTGTCCCGTTACAGGGTTTGCGCTCAACCTGCCTGTGTTGGTGATCAATAGATGTATGGTCACCCAAGCTGGCTGTGCATCTCTTCTATCAAAGCTGTGACAACGAAAGATCAAGATGTGAGCAGGCAGACTCATGCATCGAACGCTATTTAAAAAGCAGGATGAATTAATTACCACCATTAATGATCAGGGACAGACTTTGGGAGGCTTCAGTTAGCCTCAAATGTGGAGAAAACCACATTGATGGCATCCCAGTGCCATGCCCCAAGATGGATCTGATCCCTGAGCATCTCAAGCTGTCCCCACCGCACAGTGCTGGGTTTGCCCATCCAGCTGCTTGCTCAGATCCTGTTAATTAGGATTATTTTTTTAACTGCTTGGAGGCATCACTGTCCTTTCTCAGCCCTGTTGAAGGAGCAGTGCAGAAGACCATCAGCCCCTTTTCTGTGCTGGTTAGTTGTAATGCAGCAGCAACAGAGCTGCAACCAGACAGGACTTGTCAGCTGTAAAAGACACTGGCAGATTTTATTAGTTGACAGAAGGGTTTTTTGTTTTTTTTTCCTCGTGAAAATATTAAAAAGTCATTTTAGTTTAGAAACCTAATTTTAATTTAGTTAGGTTTTAATTTAATTTAGGTTTTAAATTCATTTTCCATCAGAACTCAATTTTTCA